CCACAACTGTAGCTTGATGCGCAGGCCAGGTTTGATCTCCAAAAAGTGAACATAAAAATCCACCCCTACAGTTTGGCTTGTTGACTCCAGGAAGACTCCTTCAGTGTAGCACTTCAGGAGAGAGGACTTGCCCACAGTGGAATCACCCAACATAATAATCCGGAATTGGTAATGCCAGGCAGAATCCGCTGCCATTTGGGAGCTGGGAAAGGAAGGCACAGAGCAGCTCACAGTGAGATCAAATGCAAGCCACCCCCACTCCTGAAAAGAAAGGCTGCTCAGCCCCAGCAAATATAGAAAGCGAGCTATGGCCAAGGTAGACTCTTACTGGTTGGGGCTTGTTGAGAAGCAGCTGGGTTGATTGCAGCAACAGCCTGGGGGCTGAGAGCTGTTTCATTCCATGTTCAGGCAAGCAGCTGCTAGGCCAGCCAGGATGTTCGTACTCACCCTGTTCAGCCCCACCCTGAATATGCAGTGTTCATGGAAGGAGAAAGCCAGGCAGAGAGAGCACATATTGTGGGCAGAGTAATTAACGCAGCAACCGTGCACAACCTGATCAAGGGTACATAAAGGTTTATTTAGAAACTAATATACTTGATAGGAAAGAGGAGAGACAGAGATAGGTTCCTAACTACATTTCTAACTGACAGAGAGAGAGAAGACTGTGTGTGGCACTTCTGAGAATGGGGAAATTTCTCTAAGAATAGCAATCTGGAGACAGACAAGGAATAGCACTTAACATGAGAGAAGGTCCTGTCCTCACTGTCCATTAGGACAGTCTTCTTGCTTCCCCCTTCAGGGTCTTCTTCTCTGTACACCAGACATTGTCTTTTCCAACCCTCCTTCTCAAGGTCTAGTGTACAAAGTCCACAAGATTCATCTTCTTACGCAGACTTTCCAAACTTTTCCCAAGAAAGTGGCTTGGTGAATGCATCTGCAATCATTTCATCTGTAGGACAGTATTCCAACTCAACACGCCCTTCTTGCATGTTTTAGGGTTGCCAAGTGCTTACCTGTTCCGGAGCGGGGGAGTCCAGCCTTGCTCCGGGAGTCTTCACGCGCGCGAGAAGCAAGCACATCACCTGGAAGTGACACAAGCACATTGGGGACGTTGGAGGCGGGGCCACAATCATCCGAGGGAAAACCATAGAGTTTTCCCTCGGATAAGTGACTGGTTGCAATATAGGCAGGTTTATGATCTGTTTAAAGCAGATAAAAAGGAGTTTGGTTTTAAGGCAAAAAGTAATGAAATTGAGAATTTGTGGGTGGAAGGAGGTTAAAAGATGATTTCTAAGATGTATAAGATATTGTTAAAATGGTATACAGAAGATGAAACAGTGAAAGAGCAGATGGTAAAATGGGCAGTTAATATGAATAAGGAAATATCCATGTCATCCTGGGAATTTTTATGAAAAAATACAATGAAAATTTCAACATGTAATAAATTAAGAGAGAATTGTTATAAGATGATGTATAGATGGTATATGACACCAAAAAAGATAGCAAATATAAGCAGTAATTTATCAAACAAATGTTGGAAATGTAAGAAAGTAGAAGGTTCTTTTTACCATATGTGGTGGACATTTGAAAAAGCAAAAGGTTTCTGGGCTGAGGTCCATTCAGAGATGGAAAAAATTATGAAATGCAAAATTAAGAACGAACCGGAAATGTTTCTTCTGGGACTGAGAATGGAAGAAGTCAGTATTGCAAAACGAACATTAATGTGGTATGTGATTATAACTGCTAGAATGACGTACGCTCAATGCTGGAAGCAAGAAAAAACTCCTGATATTTGGGAGTGGTTAAAGAAGTTACTTTTTATGGTTGCAATGGACAAAATGACAAGAAAACTCAAAAATCAAGAAGCAGAAGACTTTTCTGCAGATTGGAAGGACTTTAAAGATTATATGGAGAAATATTGGGATGTTAAAAACAATTTATTTTGCTTAGACAATTATTAAGACTGAGAACTATCTAGATTAAGTTTAAATGTATATATAGATCTATAGATAAAGAGATGCGGTACCTGTAATAAATATATAATATTAAAAAATTGGGAAAGGGGTTGACCTAAGGGGGAATGAGAAGTTTGAGCACTGTGGGAAGTCAGATATGAGATTACTTGTTACATTAATTATAAGTTTACCTATTGTGATATCCTAATAAAGAGGTGTGTTTTTTAAAGAGTTTTCCCTCGGATGATTGTGGCTCCACCCCCAATGTCTCTGACGTGCTTGCGTCACTTCCAGGTGATGCGCACGTCAGGGAGGAGTTCCCCCGGGGCCTGATCCGGCGCCGCCGGGGAACGGGCCTCTGGGGCGGGGGTCCCCCGAAGCCTACATGGAGTCCACCCTCCAAAGCTTCCATTTTCTCCAGGGGAACTAATCTCTGTGATCTGGATATGAGCTATAATTCCAGGGGATCCCTAGACCCACCTGGAGGTTGGCATTTCTAACAGGAGAGGCCTTTTTCTTCTCCAGGCAGTTAGTAGCACTAAGTGTAATGGAAAATTTGAGGGACTACATCTCCCAGCAGCCCCTGGTCCTAAGGAACAGTTGCCTTTTTCTTGGAGGAGGGGAAGGAGTGAAAGGGGAGGGGGAAGGAAGCACGCTGAGGGAGAAGTGTAGCCAGAAACAGGCACGTGAGAGGTAGGGATGCCAACCTCCAAGTGGGGTGCTAGAGTTCTCACAGAATTACCACTATCTCCAGACTACAGAGATCAATTCCCCTGAAGAAAATGGCAGCTTCAGAAGGCAGACTATGGCATAGTATTACTGCTGAGCTCCCTCTCCTATCCAAAGTTTGCTGTCCCCAGGCTCTGAGATGCAAACAGAGACTCAACAAGAAGAGGCTGCACAAGATCCTCAATAGGATATGGAAAAGGATGACACTGAAGTGGATGATGCAAGTGGAGGGCTGGAGTTCTCACAGAATTACCACTGATCTCCAGACTCCAGTCCCCCACTGTATTGGGCAATCGATGGAACTCATATTGGGATTCGTGCTCCTGGCAGGCAAATAAACCAGTATGGTAACAGGAAGCTTTACTGCTCTGTGCTTCTCCAGGGTACAGTTAATCACACCAGGAGATTCATAGATGAAGAAGTGGGTTTCAGTGGCAGGGTTCATTTTTAAAAATTAAATAAGAAAATACATAACATCAAAATGTCATTTAAATTAAAAACAATTTCATCATAAAACTATCTGAAATGAGATAATTCCATAATTTATGCAAGTCTCATACCCTTTTATAATTTCAATTATACACTAAGCCGGTCATCAGAAGGGATAACTCTTTTGTCAGCGAGATATTTTATGACCGGTTCCCAGGTTTCCTGATAATCAAAATGTCTCCACACCAAGGGAGAGTCAGAAAAAAGGGGTTATTCATAATCTTCCCCATTGTATATTGTTCCAATAAATGTACTTGCCAATTATGAAGTGTGGGACCCAAAGGGGACTTCCACCTTTTAGCTGTGGCCAATCTAGCCACAGCCACTAATGTCATAATAAAAAATTTCTGTTGTGGAAGAAAAAAGCTCACAAGTTCACAGATCGTCCTATGAACGTCTTTCTAAAAAGTTTCAATAACATTACATTCACACCAGTTATGGAAATTAGTCCCTACTTGATTACATTGCTTCCAGCAATTTGGGCTAAAAATTTTATTCATCAAATGAATTTTGTGAGGTGATAAATACCAATTTGAAATCAATTTGTAAAACTGGAGTTGAATATTACATATTTTAGATTTATTTGAAGGGGAATTCCAAATTTTTGTCCAATTAGATTCCATGAGATTTATCCCCAAGACCAAAGCCCATTTTGTTTCCATAATTTCAAAAGATTTAAGTGATCTATCAAAAACCCCTGAGGTCCTGAAGGTAATAATCAGGTTCCTAATTTGAAGATATTTATACCAAAAAATTTTACCCCTTGATTTTTGTTCTGCAGTCTGTTTTTTTATAACTTCCCCATTTTTTAATCCAAGAAAAGGGGGATAATAAACCTGCTGCCAACCATCTGTGGAAAGCCTGTCTTTCGTTTTCTGGTAGGAACCATTTTTGATAGGTAAAAAGGGACATCTGTGAGATAACTGGGGCCAGAACCTTCCTCCCAGAGCCACATTTTGAGAGTGTTATATAAAAATGGATTGTTGGAGGTAGATTGAGGTCTATCTTTCAGCTTACGCCAGATCGTTTCTTGAATTGACAAAGGAGCACAGTATGTTGTTGTTGTTCAGTCGCACAGTCGAGTCCGACTCTTCGCGACCCCATGGACGAGCTCTCTCCAGGCCTTCCGGTCTTCTGCCGTCCTCTGAAGTTGGCTCAACTTCATGTTCGTTGCATCGATGACACTGTCTAACCATCTCATCCTTTGCCGTCCCCGTCTTCTTTGACCTTCAATCTTTCCAAGCATCAGGGTCTTCTCCAGTGAGTGCTCCCTTCTCATTTGGTGGCCAAAGTATTTGAGCTTCAGTTTCATTATCTGGCCTTCCAGGGAACAGTCAGGGTTGATTTCTTTGAGGATTGACTGATTTGTTCTTCTTGCAGTCCAAGGGACTCTGAGCAAGAGGTTCTTTAGATCCTCTTCACTTTCAGCCATTAGAGTGGTATCATCTGCATATCTGAGGTTGTTGATCTTTTCCCCAGCAATCTTAATTCCCGCTTGTGATTCATCCAGGCCAGCATTTCGCATGATGTACTCTGCATATATATTAAATAAGCAAGGTGACAGTATACATCCTTGTCGTACTCCTTTTCCTATGCTGAACCAATCAGTTGTTCCGTATCCGGTTCTAACTGTCGCTTCTTGGCCCTTATACAGGTTTCTCAAGAGACATGTGAGGTGGTCTGGTACTCCCATCTCTTTAAGGACCTGCCATAGTTTGTTGTGATCCACACAGTCAAAAGCTTTAGCATAGTCAATGAAGCAGAAGTAGATATTTTTCTGGTACTCTCTTGCTTTCTCCATAATCCAGCGAATGTTGGCAATTTGATCTCTAGTTCCTCTACCTCTTCGAAACCCAGCTTGTACTTCTGGTAGTTCTCTATCCACGTACTGTTGAAGCCTAGCTTGTAGGATCTTGAGCATGACCTTGCTAGCGTGTGATATGAGTGCAATTGTGCGATAGTTTGAACATTCCTTGGCATTGCCCTTCTTTGGGATTGGAATGTATACTGATCTTTTCCAATCCTGTGGCCACTGTTGCGTTTTCCAAATTTGCTGGCAAATGGAGTGCAGAACTTTAACAGCATCCTCTTCTAAGACTTTGAATAGCTCAGCTGGGATACCATCACCTCCACTAGCTTTGTTGTTAGTAATGCTTTCTAAGGCCCATTTAAC